GCCGACTGGTGGACTTAGAGTCAGACTGTAGTGGTTCCTTGTCTTTGTGGCTTTCGTGGCATTCAGGTATGTGTAAGGGAAGGAAGAGAGCGTGGTAGACACGTCACCAGGCGCCCTTCCGGGCTGCTGTGAAGCCTTCGGTGGACATCGTCAGAATCGACGCTTGAACTGCCATATTAGCGCGTCGAGATTTATCCAAGCATGTCTGATTTAATACAGTACTGAATGTAAAGATATTCCCTCTGAAGATGGATTCCCCGGGGTCGGCCTCTCTGATGCAGCAGTTGATTTTCTGTGATGAGATTGTGCACATTTCTTAGCAAAACTCCACGATCGGTGTACACGTACAACACACGGACCGTGATGAGACTGCAACTGACAACATATACTGCATATACTACGTGGAATTCAAGACAGACGTAACAGTATGTTAGAATATGGAGGACGCGGCAGGCAACCATATAACACCAGAGTAGTCCTCTGAGTATCAGTCCAAAGAGAGCAACGCACGACGTTGATTAACACCATCCGAGCACATAGTTGTGAAGTGAGATATGGAACGCCGGCCAGTCTGGTTGGCCGTTAGTATGTCTAAACACGTAATTGTGTTACGAGGGAAGTTCATTTGTTTAAGTTATTGCCTAATTGACACCGTCTCCCGCATATGAGTAGGTTAGTCGTACTGTTACCCGAAGTCGATAATACTACCCAAATGCCTCCTATGGAAGGTCTAGAAAATGAATACGAAAACCTGACAGACTAATACGGCAACAGCTACTAGGTGACAAATGTGAAAAATGTGAGCCATGAGGTTTTCATATCTGGGCTAAGATAACCACACAATCAAAGGGAGTTAATGAAATGAATGAATTCTACAACAGCAACCTGCCGGTGAGGGTTTCGTAGCTCGAGTGCTCAGAAGAAGGAACAACTGATAGGCACGGCTCCTTCCCAAGGTGTACTGTGCGTGTTGGCTAAAGCTTCCAGCAAGTAAAACACTTGTACATAATGATGAATGCTGTAAAAAACTTACCTCCAGGAAGCGTGGTTCCTGAAATTGTTGGCGTCACTGAACAGCCACCACCAACAAATTCGTTAGACCCTGTTTGCACCGGGGCAACACAGACTTCAACTGACACGGCATACTCTTCAAAATTCAGCAGGTTCGCCAGTGTACAATTGACTGGTTGCCCAGGCAGGATATCAGCCTGGCAGGAGGCGACTTTACTGCCCCGCAGGAAGCCAATTGCGGTGGAACTGGCGAGGGGACCATGAGACGCATCCGGATTGATCCAGGAGACCTCCAGGGACTTTGGTTGTCGAGCAAACACGGCAGTTCCAGATGCCACATCTGGGTCTGTTCACAAAATCGGAAAAACCTCATATTTTTAATATGCTTAGAAATGAATGTTTGAACTTGGCATGTATCGGTTTATTTGAGATCTGTAGCCATATACCGAACTTTACTATATATATTTGAACAGAACTCTATCAACCACTGTAAAGTAAGACAAAAATACCATGGAGCGAAAGTGCAGATAATCGTATAAATTTATGTTTCAATTTGCTATACTGGCACCATAGGAACTAGGTAAAGCCAAGACACGCGCTTCGTCGTACTCTGCCATTGCATGACACAGCTGCGAGATGACCAGCGTGTCCCTAGTTTTCCTTGTTTGCTTTCTGATTGATAAACCGGTGTTTTAATTTCAGCTTACGGAGTACGGATTACGGATCCTTCCGGATTAATTCACGTGCTTGATATTGATCAATTATTTCAAGGTCTATAGGCATGGACTAAAATTTCCTGTATGCCATAATGGAAAATTATACGACAGTAAAGATCCGATATGTTCGATGTAATGGGTACCTTTATCA